GAGAGAGAGAGAGAGAGAGAGAGAGAGAGAGAGAGAGAGAGAGAGAGCGAGTCAAATATCCATTCAAATTCATGCATGCATTGTGACATCATCGCTCGCTCGCTCGGTCGCGCGAACGATAACGACGAAACCAAAACCAAAAACATTGATTTATAATTGCATACAGTGTTTCATGCATCCAAACATAAATGAATGCACTGCTGCACCGAAATTTTCATTACATAATTAAAATAATAATGGTCTTTTGGCTTCAATCGCATCGTCAAGCCTATTGCGTGCCACATTTTTCGTGAGTTCAGTGCTTGGGCGTGTGTGTGTGTGTGTGCAAATGAATTAACATCACGATTAATTTGACTGTCATGAAAATCACAATCCTATTTATTATGCAGTACTCTGTGATTTATTTTTGACGCACTATCCAAATTAAGAGACTTGAATTTAATTATTGTTATTATTTTTTGTTACGGTGTACATGTTTCTTTCACAAGCAATTGTTAAATTATTTATGGCATTTGAAAGAGTCGAAGTGAATTCACAGTTTAGGTATTAATTTCTGGTCGGGCAACCTTGTATCCTTTTTATGATTAACAACAAAAAAACTCAGATGACACATTATTCGATTATAAACTTTCCAATTCGTTGGTGCATACTTTTAGTTTGGACATAGTTTTGGAATTCAATTTTCACAACTTGTGAAATACGAATCCAAACTGGCGTACAAAAGTTTCGAAATAAATACTATATGTGCCATTCAAAACGAAAAAAATATGCAGAAAGTTTGGCCTGGATATGTCTTTTAAAAGCCAAACCGCAAATGGTCGAGTTGTCATTTTCGAATTAAATATTCGTATTCTCGATACAACCCTTAATTATTCACATTTGTCTCGGTTTTTGTGGTGACACCGCATACACATACTCACGTTCTAATATCAGGCTGATGGAACGCTTGACGCCACACATGAATTCATTTCAGTTTTATTTGCAATACACACACAAAACGCACACAGAGAAAAAGAAATGAAAGTGTAAGCACTTTGAATGGAATACGTGATTTGGACCAAATATAAAAATCAAGCAAGAGCTATAGCTACAAATGATTCATTTTTTTATGCATTTTCCGTTTGAAGCGGCGTCCAAATGACTGGGGGAAATAAAGAGTGAAAGGATGAGGACAAAAATGCAATTCGTATCTGGGCGAGAATTCATGGCAGAACAAAAAATAAACTACCGACGGCAGAAGCGCATTCAGATTTTCATCATGCATAGTTGAAATACCGTAATTTCATTTTTGTTCGTTAAAAGTACACGTATCAAAACAATTGCTGTACCACATAGAAAGACCAATGCGGAATGTTATAAAGAGAGTGAAAAAAAACCACGGTTGGAACGAATATTTTTATGCAATCATAGGATTAAAACGGGCTAAGTTTAAAAATGACCATGCAGAAAGGCTTATGATGCTTCTCGCTTCTGAATTACGGATCCTCGACTATCTACCCGTTTGCCAATTCTTTTTTTTTGTCTTCTATTCTGTATTCTTTTTTTTCATTCGTCGATGTAGCCGGCACATGTTCGCATAAACAGAAAAAAACACGCTTTAAACTCTCGGTAAAAGCACACGATCGTCATTCGGTGTATACGGCAAAGGAGGGAGCAGAAAAGCTTTTGAAAGGCTTTGGTATGCCAAATGGTTGTGTGCTTGCAAAATACCAATTAGATGAAAACAAATATTTTATGTGCAACTACTGCATAAATGCTAATGGAACACATTCAAACCGAAAAAGATTGAATTTGTAGGGTAGTTGGTGTAGTGATGAATGTTATCACGCAAATATCTCATTGAAATTATTCACTAGTCAAAACTTGGCCAATGTGTGTGTGTGTGCATTTACATGATTCCGGAAAGAGAGAGAAAGAAAACCGAAAGCGAGAGAGAGAGAGAGAGAGAGCTGCAGAGGACAGGAAAATTGCCGGCAACCAAGCCAAAATGAATGCTCGTTCAGGATAATAACATATGTGTGCGGACGGAAAATTTGCGGTCAAACTTGCAAATTTACGACGACATTTATGCATACATCAATATAAGTGTTTGTAGTTTGAAATGTTCGAATTTGGTTAGTGGTACTGCTGCTGGTACTGTTGCCGTCGCCGCTGTTAAGCAATGCGTCGGCAACTGATTCTGGTTTTGAAAATGGTCGGTTTTATGCAATTCGCTTTGATGGAACATTTTCAATTGCGAGTGTGACACATTCCAGTAGGTTTCAATTCGCAATTTGTGTGCATACAGCATTTTGCACAGTGTATCCGACCAAACAATCTATCCGGTTTTCTTTTCGTCAGCTTACTACTTGCACTTCCTGTATGTATGCTGCCCTCCTCCATCATTCGCATCCTCTTCATCTCTTTGTGTGTGATAGTGAGTATATGTGTGCTGTGTGAATGCACAATGAATGCAAAATTTCGCATTTTGCATGCGTGCCGCTTTCAAAAACTACTATTCATAAGTTCATTTGTGGTGCTGTTTCACTCCAAATATCATCCTCTCTCGTGCTTGCTCTTCTTCTCTTTCCATATTTTTGGCCAAATCTCCAACCAACAATCGGGCCATGCACTTCTGATGTATACCGATTTGCAAAAGAACCTTCGACACGTACAACTATAATTCGAGCACAATAAACAACATCGGCGACAACATCGAGACATCCCCTATGCGAATAATTCGCCCAAAACATACACACAAATGGATGGATGTATGTGTGTATGTGCATCTATGCTTTTGTGCTTTCACCAACAACTTTTTAATGAAATGCAAATTAAAATAATTATAAATTTAAATTCGACTATTGTTTTGGGAGTGAAACTTGCCATTATATTTATTATCAAATTGCTTGCTCTGGGTATAGCTCATGCCATTCTCTCTCACACTCTCTCTCTCTCTTTCTCTGCTGTGTGTTGTCGTTGTTACACAGTTTACACTGGAAAATTATATTCAATTTAGTGGGTTTCTTGTTTTTGGCTTTATTACCCCGAAGCAATATAACACAATTGGCAAATTCATAATAAAATTAGAAACTATATAACGAAAATGCAGATCGCGAGCTGTTTATGATCCTGAATTGTTGGACGATGATGAACTGACACGCTCTTGAATTGTCCAAATAGAATAAAATCTACTTTCACTTAAAATGGATTTTCATTGAAATGGAAATAACATGAAAATATTTCATGGCATTCCATTTTCTGAATTCTGTATCATTTCCTATAACGAAAGATCAACCGAATGCCATTCCATCATTGAAATTCATGCCAATGTAAACTGTTGTCGATGGTCAATATAAGCTTCACTAAATTTCTGGAAATTTATTATTGAAGAATTTACTATTTACAATTACGTACACACCATCAATATAGTAAAAAAAAACTAGCAATTTCAGACTTTATCCCTTTGAAACTGACTTAGAAAATTTTCGGAATGTTCAAATGTGAACAATTTTAATAATCGAAACAAGTTTTAAGTCTAAATTACAAAAACAATTTTGTTTCGTTGATTTATCGTTTGTGTTTCACTCTTTATTACCCCTGCCGCAAATATAGTAGGTTCGTTGTGTCAACTGTCGAATGTTTGTGTCGCCGAATGGGTACTTTTGTGATGCGAACGATGCTAGGTTCAAAAGTGAACTGACGAAAACGAAAACAATTTCATGTTGCATTATCCATTTCGGCAATGGTTTGGTGTCGGCAAACGTGAGTTGTGTTCAGTACGTGCGTCGAGGAAAAGTGGAAAATGTTATCGGTTGCAAATAGATTCGTAATTCAAAGCCAGTTGCTTGCTCTTTGTCTCATGGCATGCTCCATGGCAATCAGTTAGAAACATACATACACACATAAAACAATGACACATTCGAACATCCAATAGCGGTTTGAATTTGCGGATGTGCTTCTGTGCAAGATATCTGTTCTGATCTTTCTACAATCACATTATATCGTTTTGTTTACCTAGCTGCTTTTTTTTGGTTCGGTCTCGTTAAAAATCAACATTATTTCAATTGTTGGGAATTTCCAGTACAAAAAAAAATTCAAAGGATTACCTGAACTTGTTTTGCATTAATCTTGATAATAGTTTGATTTTGTGTTGCATCGTGATGCCCTAACTGCTACGATTAACACTGTATACCAGAAAAAAAAGACGACCATCAACTCTCCGATGCCATTATTTATTTTGTGTGCCATAAAGTTTTATTTTTAATTCGGTGGTTTTGTATGCTATACACGCAAAATGTGCACAGCACATTATTTGTCGCACATTCATTTTATGTCTGCTGTTGTAATTTATGAGAATGGTCGCACTTTTTTCCGCTCGGAATCAGATACATATATACATTTTTAATCAAAAGAAATACAGAACAAAGCGTTCACAGCCTCAACAATAATCGAAATAATGGGGAGATGAACCATTTGTGTCTCAAAGTAACATTGCGCACACGATATTCGTTATTCATTTGAATTTGTTTTAATGCAAATTACGATATTCATCAAATGTAATAATAAAAAGCTACACGACTAGAGAGAGAGATGGGCACAGTCTGCAAATTATAGGATTATGTATTTTTTGTGTTCATATTTTGGTTATTAATGCGCGAAAAAAAAACAAATTCATTTTTTGTTTTCATTTATCTGTAAAATGTTCGCTGGTGAATTTTATGTGGTGAAAAAAGTCAAATATGTACATAATGATAAATTTTCACCAGATATACATATTGTATTATTAATACGGCTGAAATTAAAACATTTATGAGGTCGCATTTCCATTTTTCGCTGGTTTTTTTTTTTCATCTGGTGTTGTTTGTGTTTGAACAAAATAAATGCAAATATTTACTCGTTGTCTAGATTTCTTGTTCATTGGTGTATTGTTATTGCTATTGACACGATCAAATAAATCGATAAATGATAAAGTTTATTCGATCCAACACTAAACTAAACACAAATGTCGATTGAAAATTAGTGCAGTGGTTTGGAAATTGTTTGGATCCGATAGTATCGCACAGCATTTTTGCATGCATTTTGAAACAGTAGTCAAGAACAAAAACAGTAGCAATACCGGCTGCAACGCACACACACACACACATTGAACGATTCTATTCGCATTCACTTTCACAAAATTTCATTATTGAACGGTATAAATTTCATTTTGCCATATTACAAAATGTGGTGGACGCATTGGCCTATGCGATTCGATTGTTTGCGGCTTTTAAATCAATTCAATTAACATTTTGTGCAAATGGTATAAACATGAAATTTGGTAATCGCTACAAATTGACATCATGTTCATTAGCACGCACACACACACACACATACAGAAACGGGATCCGCATTTCGATCTCCTTTGATAAAATATTGGAAAATTATAATCGATGTTTTTCATGCTCGAGAGAATCGAGGATTTCATTGGAAATGGGAATATCAAAATTAGATTATCCCGATGCCCAGTGTTCAACCTCATCATTTTTTTTGTTGTTTCAGTATTATATGAATCACTTCGGTGCTCTGTGTATCGATACGAATATGGTATTTTCAATTAAAAATGCATGCACTCATTACCGCATTGGATTTTGGACGATTTAACAAACGGAAATATTTAACTTTAAAGCCGAAAAGAAATTGTTTGCGTACAGACTGTACATGAATGTACTGTTATTTTGTGTACATAGGCGTGCAATACTTTGCTTATGAATGGAGGGATAATGTAGAGATAAAAGAACGTGCCAATTTCAATAGAAGCTAAAAAACATTGGAGATGGATATCGTGTGCGTGTATCTCTCGGTCGGATGTGTGTACGAGTGCGAAATGCGAATGAAAGGAAACCATCGAAAGCAGCTGAGAACCATATACACATAATCATTCATAATTTATTTACACGAGAACATAAACTCATCTCATCTCATTTCATCGGCATCGCAATGCGTCACACATTCAAAATTACACATGAGACTTTGGTTTATTGCTTATGGTTAGTAAAATGGTATTATGACTGTTTGCGTGCATCGATGTTACTATCTATGTATTGTATATCGTTATCATCACGTTTGCTTATGTGTGCCGGAAAGTGGCTTTATTGTCATGACGATTATAGCCGAATTTAAATCGAGTACATGTACAAAGGAAATTTGCCCGGCGCTTTAAGCCACTTTCCAAAAATGAATTATATTTTTGACGTTTTGCTTTTGTGTTGCTTCTGTTCTTCGACTGAATTGCATTTAAAGGCGTTTTTTCCATTTTTCGGTACTATCAAAATGTGAGACCTCCGATTGAATTTGATGCAATCCATAAATTTTGTTATTGAAGTCCTCTGACCGAGAGAGAGAGAGAGAGAGAGAGAGAGAGAGAGAGCAAACCAATAAGAGCAAACATCAATGTGTTCGACTGGTCGTGGTTGACATTTTCAGTTCGAGTAGTCGATATTGGTTTGGATTGCGAAAGAAATGAGAAAAATTCGTGCCCTTGTTCTAACGGCACTTGAATCCAACCGAATGCTACTCGAGGTAAAATTCACCGAATATTTAATCGTCATGCATGAAATGACAACGAAAGCCGTTAGCAACCGACAAAAGGATTTTATATCGGTTAACACAATTTGCCTTCTACCGTGTGTGTGTGTGCTTTTTTGTTGTTGCTCGTTTCATGTATGCATTTTTTGCACCTCGTTGCCAAACTGTTCTTTTCCGTTGTACATGTTATGTGCGCCTATTTTGCATACAAAATGCACATCAACTTCTTTTCACGGGCATTGCCATTTGGCCCCAAACCGTACGGCGCTTAACATGTTGATTGGGATTTGTTTCGCCATCATCATATCCGTATGGAGCCTAAACTGCAGTCACTACTTTATTATTACTTTTGTCGTTCGTTAATTCCATCGCAATGGATGCGATCAATGGTATCAGATGCGAAAAATTCCAACTATTCTCATGTTTTATTTTAGATGGAAAAGCGCCCAAATCAATTTCAACTCATATCTCATCAAAAACAGAAACAAAAAATTACACCATAGAAAACTGAATCGCAGCAAACAATTCGCAACCGCAAATTAATCCAAATGAAATTATGACCGCAGTTATAAAACTTGAAAAATCAATTTACATACCGGACTGCCGTTTTAATTTAGCTGTAGTGGTTGCAATAATGTGAAAATATATTTTTTTTTCTCTCGCTTAAATCGATGTCTACTTTAATTGAGTTATGGTTTTATCACAATAATCCGATTATTATTTTATATGGACGAATGGTGTTATTAAGCGACCAAATGAAAAAATACTAACATTATCCCCATTCGATTTGGCTTTCGATTTTTATATTATTTCAGTATTAACTGAAGTGGATTGCCATTGATGTGAATGATAGTGGTATAAAATCTGCCAATTTTCAAAACCAACCCACTGTAAAAGCCGTTTAATGACGGATTGAATATTTATTCGCTGTGCTCTTCTCTCTCTCCCTCTGCCTCTGTCCCTTCCGATCTATTTTTATGTATTTGCATAAATGACACAATTTGGACCAGTTTCAGTTAGCTAAACGATATGGTTATTTTGCTTTGGACGATTATCCATCTAGTATAAATCGCATTTGAATTACAAATCGCTATCAAACAAACTTTTCATGCAGCAGTAGTTAGTTTTGTGTGTATGGCTTGTCTGCCTGCCTGCCGGCGATTCACATAAGAGCGTGTGGTTGGTCGATGAGCAGAAAAAAATGAAGTGAAACTTTTACAGCGACTCAAGTAAATTAGTACCAACCGCGGTATACAATGAATAATTGAGACAAAGAAACTTCTTTCGATGTTCGCATTTTCATTGTTCTTTCGCTTTCACGTTGCATCAATGAATACGTACATTTATTCAACGATTTTTTTTTCTGTCATTTTCTAGCTAAAATAACGTTTATTCTCGCTCAATATACTTTTTAACTTTCGTAATAATCGCAATGACTTCTTATTTAACAAGTTTTGACGCATCATTTCCATTTTTTAGTCATTTTTCCAACAACACATTTTTAAATGTCCTATTTTTATCAGTTTGATATCAGTCGCGATTTGCCTATATATTGATACATCGGATCATGAAAATAGATTAACACACATAAATAGATGTTAATTCAATGAAATTGAATATCAATCATTCAATGCCAATTCGAATAACATTCGTTGTGATATTTTTGTTATCACCAACGCACACTACTATTTGTAATAATCCGCTTTTTCACATGCATATAAATTTACTTTTGATATACGGTTAATGA